GCGGTTAATTCGTCAGTGATAACACTGATATACACATTGGCTCCTCCCTCACATCGGCAGTTAGGTGATGTCCTTTTGTTTGACAGAGTCCGGGGCGGTGGGAGGGTGAGTGACTTTTTTTTTAATGTGTGAGGGATTGGCGACTTGTACATTCCCGCATTTTACATGCACCGATCCAAAGCTCTGGGCAAGATCAATATACATAAGAAAGAGAAGCTAACCTGGAAAACAGTCATATATATTTTTTGATTGATTTTTTCAATTTTGTGTGGTATAATACAAACAAATGACTTTTTTTTTCTGGCCTGCTATGTATTTTGTCTGTCTTTCTTATGTATATTGCTATTCCTCATAACTTTTGGTGGGTGCATGTAAAATTGGGCTTCTTTTGAGAATGTACAAATCGTGAATACATGCTGTGTAGTTGGCTCCCGAATACAGTAGTGATATACTATACACATCGTCATGATCATCAAGACTACAAAATTTCTAATGCGATGACGTCGGAGGTTATGTGATGTCCTTCGACAAACTACGGAGAGCGGTGTGCGATGTCTGTTTGTTGGGATAATTTGTAAATGCTGTCTAACCAGTGCGCGGCTCCAAAATTAGTCAATTGTTTTATAGAAGTTTGTTGATGATATGCGCAGCCCGCAAGCAGTTAATAACACTGCGATATATTTGCAGTGATATTGTGTTCCACTTCGATAAGTGATGAACGGAAATATATTTTGAAGAGAGAGACGGAGAGAGAAAGAGAGAGAGAAAGAGAGAGAGAGAGAGAGAAAGAGAGATAGAGAGAGAGAGAGACTACCCAGCTATGAAGGCAAGCACCACACGCACGCAACTTGTTCTAAGCCAAATAGGATGCTTACTGTTGGGGGTGGTAGAGGGGGAGAGGAATGGGGAGGAGGGGTATAAGGGGAGAGGAATGGGAACGAGGGGGTGGAGGGGGAAGGCCCAGCGAGCTTGTGAGAAAAGGTGGGCAGTGCTCCGGACTGCTGGACTCTACTGGAACGGTTTAGTAAGATATTATATAAGTCCATAGAAAGAAATGTAAACATGTATAAATCTACTTCTATGCAAAGTCAGAGACTGAGGTAATGTAATGACTAATGTCAGTAATGACGCTCGCCAAGGGTATGCCATATTTCATATTATTGTAATTGACAAAGTACTAGGCCTATGTATTAGGCTAAGTACATTTTCGCATATATAATAAGTGGCATATTATTGAATATATTTCGGAGTAAATAAGGCTACGTGTGTTGAAATATATATCGAATTAACAACGGTAAATTCGGTGACATGCGGACTGACATATTGTCTACCCACTACGCATTGCGCATCACGACCTGTACCACCTCCCGCACTGACGTAAACATAGACTGGTACGCTGCAGTTCGCTGCATGTCTATCGAGCTTGTGACAAGGGCTTGGAAACATTCTAGGTCTATTTTCACATTCTATTTTCATGGATTCTTCCGCTCACTCAAGATAGATGAAATAGTTCTATTTGTATTTTCATTTTCACAATAAGTGCACGAAATTTAACGAACAACAGCTTGTGATCTTCTATTTACATACCATATCGGATAAACACAAAAGTTTGCTTCGAACTGTTATAGTTGAAAACTTAACCACTTTTTGAGCGATCGACATAACTAGTAGAATTTGTATTGAGCAGCCATCGCCGTCTCGGTGTAAGTAGTCCGCTTCGCGGACGGGTATCGTTTCACTCACAAAAAGGCGTGAACGTCCAGAGGAGAAACCGGATACTAGAGAGGCGATGCGCAAAGGAGGCGTTGATCTTGTCCGCTGAGCGTGGATGTTGCGCGCAGTTCCGCGGCAAGGCGCACGCGACCGCGGGAACGTCCTAGGAAAGTATCAGGCGCCGGCAGCTATGGATCCGTGCGCGAAATCCAAAGGCCGGCGCACGGATGCATAGCTGCCAGCAAAGTCTCGAATTTTTTTTGGGGGGGTTTTATTTCCTCCCCAACTATCCCTGGATTTCCCAAATCCAACCAACCAAACCAACAAGCAAAAGAGGGGAGTCTGATTTCGGTATATACCCCCTGACCTAAGATAAAAGCACTTGACGCAGAGCGCAGCTACATGCTAGGAATGCGTCGAGTCAGGTTGGTCGGCTGCCCCCGTGTGCAGGAGAAGTCATGGTGTGTATCAGTGAAAACAATACACAGGGGCTCGGGGCGATTTAACCCCCGAAATGCCAAAAATAGCCCCGGAAATGCCAAAAAGAGTCCCCGTAAATGTGCATAGAGTTCAATCCAAACCAAATTTTAGAGTGCTATTTTCATGCACGCAAGCTTGAAAAATAGCCCCTGAAAAATAAATTATTTTTTCCCTGGTGTGTATATAGCGCAGTGGCGCCATCTATCGGACGGCATATGTGCTACACTCATCTGGGGCACGTTCCTACGGGCCATAGCCATGCGTCATATGATGAGTGACCGGCGCAGGACACGCCCCCAGCGACAGACAGGGAAGTGAGGTGTGGGGAGGGAGGGAGCTGGCGCCGGCCGGCCGCGCTCGTGCAAGGAAATGCACGCTGCCGAGATCAGGAGAGCGCAGCTCGGCTCGCTGGTAGGCGCGCGTGACGAGACCGTCTGGTGGTGATTGCCGTGGGCGTGTCTTCACGGAAAACGTTTAAACTCCGTTTTTCACCGCTATAGGACGCGCGCCCATTAGCTAAAAAAACTCCTGCCGCATTACGAGCAAATCTCGAGCTACGTGGGTAGTCAAAACCGTCGTGCGATCGACAGAACTCTGGCTTTTGCGTTCCGACACCGTCTCGCACTATACACTAAAGGGACTCGCGAAAGTGTTCTTGATAGTGCAGCGTTATTTGTCTTAGTGGCCGCAACGCAGCGTTTTCGCGCTTCGCTCGTGGGAGCTGCCAGACTGAACAGTGGAAGTGATGCAAGTGTAACTGAAATGATATGGAAGATGGCCACATATGGAGCACTGGCCGCGCATAGAAGAAAAGTGTGTGCGGCAGACGTAAAAGAAAAGATAACATGGTGGATCCGTGCGCCATAATGAAAGCCAGTGCACAGATCCAAAGAAAAGACTAAGTGACAGAAAGTGTTCCTCCTCAGGGTGGCATATACGAACCGCCGCAGTATATATAATTTATTTCACGCAGCTGTCCCTTATTTCCCAGTCCGCTGCGCCTTGCTGAATAGTACTAGTAGAGTCCACTAAGCAATTGCACTCGTTAACGAAGCCTGCCAAAAACCGTGTCACAGACGGGGCGGTGCCCGTGCATGGGTAATTCGTCAGTGATAACACTGATATACACATTGGCTCCCCCCCTCACATTGGCAGTTAGGTGATGTCCTTTTGTTTGACAGAGTCCGGGGCAGTGGGAGGGTGAGTGACTTTTTTGTTTAATGTGTGAGGGATTGGCGACTTGTACATTCCCACATTTTACATGCACCGATCCAAAGCTCTGGGGAAGATCAATATACATAAGAAAGAGAAGCTAACCTGGAAAACAGTCATATATATTTTTCGATTGATATTACAGCTTGAACACCAATTTTGTGTGGTATAATACAAACAAATGACAATATATATTTTTTTTCTGGCGCTGCGCCCTCTTTCTTATGTATATTGCTATTCCTCATAACTTTTGGTGGGTGCATGTAAAATTGGGCTGCTTTTGAGAATGTACAAATTGCGAATACGTGCTGTGTAGTTGGCTCCCGAATACAGTAGTGATATACTATATACATCGTCATGACCATCGAGACTACTAAATTTCTAATGCGATTACGTCGGAGGTTATGTGATGTCCTTCGACAAACTACGGAGAGCGGTGTGCGATGTCTGTTTGTTGCGATAATTTGTAAAGGCTGTCTAACCAGTGCGCGGCTCCAAAATTAGTCAGTTTTATCGAAGTTTGTTGATGATACGACAGCCCGCAAGCAGTTAATAACACTGCAATATGTTTGCAGTGATATTGTCGATAAGTGATGAACGGAAATATATTTTGAAGAAAGAGAAACAGAGAGAGAGAGAAAGAGAGAGAGAGAGAGAGAGAGAGAGAGAGAGCGAGAGAGCGAGAGAGAGAGAGAGAGAACTACCCAGCTATGAAGGCAAGAACCACACGCACGCAACTTGTTCTAAGCCAAATAGGATGCTTACTGTTGGGGGTGGTAGATGGGGAGAGGAATTGGAAGGAGGGGTGGAGGGGGAAGGCCCAGCGAGCTTGTGAGAAGAGGTGGGCAGTGCTCCGGACTGCTGGAGTCCACTGGACCGGTTTAGTAAGATATTATATAAGTCCATAGAAAGAAATGTAAACATCTTTTTCACAATAAGTGCACAAATTTAACGAACAACAGCTTGTGATCTTCTATTTACATACCATATCAGATAAACACAAAAGTTTGCTTCGAACTGTTATAGTTGAAAACTTAACCACTTTTCGAGCGATGGACATAACCTGTAGAATTTGTATTGAGAGTAATAGCCGTCTCGATGTAAGTAGTCCGCTTCGCGGACGGGTATCGTTTCACTCACAAAAAGGCGCGAACGTCCAGCGAAGAGACCGGATACTAGAGGCGATGCGCAAAGGAGGCGTTGATCCTGTCCGCTGAACGCGGATGTTGCGCGCAGTTCCGCGGCAAGGCGCACGCGACCGCGGGAACGTCCTAGGAAAGTATCAGGTGCCGGCAGCTATGGATCCGTGCGCAAAATCCATAGGCCGGCGCCTAGATGCATAGCTGCCAGCGAACAGTCTCGAATTTTTTTTGGGGGGGGTTGTATTTCCCCCCAACTATCCCTGGATTTCCCAAATCCAACCAACCAAACCAACAAGGAAAAGAGGGGAGTCTGATTTCGGTATACCCCCTGACCTAAGAGGGGGGGGGTTGGAAGTAGACATGTAGCATGAAACGGTTATGAAGACAGTTGCTGCTGCTATATTGTAATGAGTGTGTAACTTCTATGACTAAAAAGTGCATTTCATGCTTTACCCGTGGCAATTGACAGTTCCAATCGTGGTGAGGTTGTCGACAGTGGTAGCAGAATTTGGGACAAAGGCGTGCGCTGTGGTGCCTCTCCCCACACAAACTGCACGTGTAGATTCTCGTGCGTTTCTTCATTGGCACCAACGTTTGCCGTGGACATAAAAACTACAGATGGGAAAGGAGAAAAGAAACGGAACTATACATTGATCCAAAATCCACTGGCATCGTTGGAGATTATGTACACAGTAGTACAAAAAAGACGTTGAATAAACATGTATGTAACATGTACGTGTATACCGTCGTCATGGAAAAGTAGTGCTCGGAAAAAGAAAACATTTAGACATGAAATGTCAATAAGCAAAAGAAGTAGAACGACTGCAATTAGTAAATATTGCAGTGTTTTTCTCACATCTCTTGCCAAGAGAGATATACGCAGCTAGGTTTGTCGTGACATAGGTGAATACGTGACGTTTACCTTGTATACACGTGAATGTTAGAGACTTCATCAGCACACAGTCGTCACATGATCCATCATCGTAGAATGGTTCCAAAATCGACCTTTCGGCTGAAATCCAATTCACAAATATGTCAATGATCTGTGTGTCGGAGTGCGTGTCTCTGTGTGTGCGTGCGTGCGTGCAGGTGTACGCGTGTTGGTGGTGGTGGTGAGTGTGTGTGTGTGTGTGTGTGTGTGTGTGTGTGTGTGTGTGTGTGTGTGTGTGTGTGTCAGCGCATGCGTGTGTGTGCAAGTACGTGTAAGTGCATGTGCACGTGTGTAGCTGAGTGTCTGTGCGTGCGTGTGTGCGTGTATGTGTGTGCGTGCGTGCGTAGAAATTGTGATGTGTATTTCGAGTAATAGATTATTGGATGAGTTTTAACTGAGCGCTGACTTGACTATGGTTTCCCAGCAATGTGACAGTATGAAGACGACACTGGAATATATAGGTCGTTGTGTTTGATGAAGCAATGCAAAAGATACCGAGCAGTAAGGAACGACTGGACGGTCTTCTTTCCGCCGCAACG